GTTCTTGAGATGGAACATGAAAAATATCCTAATGCAATTTCGTAAATGAAACTGAAGGTGAAAGATGGCTGTTTCGAGGTCTTAAATGAAATTTAAGACGTATTAATCACATACACGGTCTCCAGGAAGATTATATCGGCTGTGTACTTCCCCAAAGGGATTATCTTGAAGGAGGAATGGTGGACAAAATTTAATAATATCAGAAATATATTATTTACTTGAATAACAATATACATTTCCTAAGACCTGCTCTACTAATTTTACGCTATCACTTTGCATTACACTAATTCATGTACGCACACACACACACATATGTATATGAGTGTGTGTGTGTTGATATAATAGGAAAGAACTGTTAGATTGATGATTCGAAGTTCTTTAGTATTATCGTTTTTTTTTTAAAATAACAGTGCTCGATACAGAAGTAGAGCCTAGATTATAATAATTTATGTGTCGCGATGGAATCATATTTTAAAAAAAAACATAACTATAAAATAGATAGATAGATAGATAGATAGATAGCATAAACAAAAAAGAAAAACACTAAATGAAATTGGCTAGACTATACAGCCAAATAAGTATATATAAATAAAAATAAAATTTAAAAAATCAGTGACACCCCCTCCTTTCCCCCTCTCTCTCTCTCTCTCTCTCTCTCTCTCTCTCTCTCTCTCTCTCTCTCGTGTGCATGTATGGTCGTATCAACGTAAAGAAAACATTCTCCTGATGAAGTCTTAAAGGACGAAACGCTTCAAACGAAAAATCTTTTCCGTTTTGTCATTAATTTTCATAATCTATCTATCTATCTATCTATCTATCTATATATATATATATATATATATATATATATTATATATATATATATATATATTCATTGAAACAAATATTGTTAAATATAAGAGATAAGAATGTCTATTATATTTTACTATGAGCCTTTCCAAGCGTCGTTTAATGGCTTTAGATACAAGAGAAAATAAAGACAATCTTTATTACAATGGTCGTCGATCTAAGCTTTCAGCCTCTATGTAAACAAAAGAGGATGTCATCTTAGGCGGTGAACATATCTGTTCTTATGTCCATGTAAACACACTGATTCATATTTATTTCAATAAGGATCTGCTTCCCATATATATATATATATATATATATATATATATATATATATATATATATATAAGTATAAGATTGATGTATACGGAATAAATTCCAATATCCAACAAATACTATTCTTAAAAGAGTGCTCAATGCAGAGTAGAGCAAATATAATTATTTATTCGAAAATTATAACATAAAAATGTTATAAAATCACTACAAAAATGGGAAACGCTGTTATATAAACTGGAATGACCAATCAAAATACAAGTATATGAGAATTCAAAAAACTTGACAATGGACTAAGGTTATGACAGTTATTTAATGCTTTAATGTTGGGGTTAGACTTAAATAGAATTTATTCTAACTAAAAAAAAGTTTAAAATTATAACAGAGGAGTAATTATAAAATTATTGAGAAGTAATTTTTTCCCCAGTAATTTTATAATATTAAACTTAATATAGATTAAATTTAAATTTTAAAATTGGTAATTTTTAATTTCAAATTTTATCGTATAATTTAAGCATTAAAAAATTATCATAACCTTAGCCCGTTGTTAAGTTTTTTGAATTCTCGTATACTTGTATTTTGATTAGTCTATTGCTGCTTATGTAACAGCGTTTCCCATGGTGAGGGGGGGTGTTTGATTGATTTGAACCTTTTAAAACCCTTTATTCTACATTCAACGCCATCACTTGATAAGACACCAGAGGGGTTGAAACAAAATGGCTATTTTTGTAGTGATTTTATAACATATTTATTCTATAATTTTCGAATAAATAATTATATATATATATATATATATATATATATATATGTGTGTGTGTGTGTGTGTGTGTGTGTGTGTGTGTGTCTAAATTTAAAAGAACGAAGAATACAAATTGCAGCGTTCAAAACATTAATTTAAAACAGCGGTCAATACAAAAGTAGAGCAATAAATATTTATTATACAGTTACATTAGAACATTGTACATTTTGTTTCGACGTTTAAAATAAAACATCTCTTCAGATGGTTAATAATGATGCCTGAAGAGACGTTTTATTTTAAACTTTGAAACGAAATGTACAATTCTGTAGTGGATACTTACATGTTCTAATGTAACAATATATATATATATATATATGCACACACACACACAGATATGAAATTATATATGTTATAATAATTATATATATATATATATATATTAAGACGTTCTCCTAAAGAACCGTTGTGCCTCCGACAGGAATCGAACCTTCCCATCAGGGAAAGTACTTTTTGAACCAAAGTGTACAACTAGCAGCTCAGCAACTGATACCAGACAGACAGAAAATCAATTTGAATTACCTGTATTAACGAAAGTACGTTTTTTTTCTCGTTATCATAGTAGTGAGTACTGAAGATGGTAAAAGTAATGGAATATAAAAGTTAAAATTCATAATTTCCTGATGCAAACATTTTTGGTGTCCTCATAAGTATTCTCATTCATAAAGGTGGGTATCTTTTTACCAGTAGCGGAAATCTGTGTTTATTCCCAGCCAACGAGTCAAGTTTTTATTTTTAACGAAGGTATATAAACTCATTTGTAGTTACCTATAATAGCAGAATCATTTACATCAATATTTAATTATTATCTACACAAGGTATCCAACGACCCAAATTGACATCATTTTGTCATTTAATAATAACCAAATGATCTCAAATTTTAACAAAATGTGTATAAACTAAGCTGACTTCGTGTATTTATCTCAATGAGAATCTACCAGGAAAATGGATCGGGTGTGCCAGTGATAATGACAATGAGCTTTTGAAATGGCGACCACGTTCACCTGACTTGATTGATTTTTTCCCGTGGGGATATGTGAAAGGATAGGTCTATATCCCCGCTATTCCTACAAGCCTAGAAGAATTTAAACAGAGAATCACTGAAGCGCTGGGAAAGTTACGCAAGACATGCTACAGCGTGTTTGGCAGGAGCTGGACTACTGACTTGACTTGTGTCGCGTCACAGCTGGTGCGCAGATTGAACATTTGTGAAGCTTTGCGAAATCTCATATAAAATCTAAATCCCTTTGAATATCTTGTTCGAAATTTGATAAATATATCTTTTATTGATCCACATGAGGCCTTTTTCTTTTGCCTGGGACATGTACTTACTCAGATATAAATGATGTCAGTTTTATGGGGACACGCTGTATAGTTTTCATTTTTATCACAACAAATTTGTACATACGTCAAAAGATAATTTTTTTATTTCCCCTGCCCACACCAAAATACGTTATCATTTAACACATTATTATTGTAAAATCTCTGATACCAAATAGCAAAGATCATGTAACTTGGTTAAATCAGTTAATTATACGCATATTTAAATTAATTTTGTTTTTTTTTTTAATTTAATTCAGGGACTTTTTAAATTAAAATCAAACTCCTGTTCTTTCACCTCGTTTCCTTCTAGACGAAAGCCAGTGTTATTTAAATCTAAATAACTCCTTCTTTCTTTCTTTCTTTCTTTCTTTCTTTCTTTCTTTAGTTTTTCTATGACATAATTTTGACGGCTATGGCAGCGATGGCCAAATTGACAAGAATATGGAGGAGCAAGATCAGTTTTCAATCTAAGTACAGACTGTACAAATCGCTGGTAGTCTCCATTCTCCTACATGGATGTGAAACGTGGACACTGTTGGCAGATACAGAGAGGAGTCCAAGCGTTTGAGAACAAATGCATGAGAAAACTCTTTAACATTTTCTATTGGGATCAAAAAAAAATGTCTATGCGAAAAATGGTTGAAAGTTTTCTGGGACACCAGGAACCTATTCTCGCCAGAGTCAAACGGAGAAAAATGGCATGGTTTGGGCACGTTACAAGGCATGACAGCCTGTACAAGACCATCATGCAAAGCACTGTTAAAGATGGACGTAGGAGAGGACGCCAACACAAAAACTGGCTGGACAATGTCAAACAATTGAAAGTTATGACTACCAGAATTGCTGATGGCTGCCGTTGATAGACCGTTGTGTGGGAGAGATACAGTGTGGCTTCTGCATTCAGATCCACTCCCCCTACGATTACAAAAGTCAAAGGAATGATGATGATGATGATGATGATGATGATGATGATGATGATGATGATGATACTGCTGCTGCTGCTGCTGCTGATGATGATGATGATGATGATGATGATGTTGGAGCGGAATGTTGGACTTTGGTTGGCCCTTAGATTCTAGCAAATCGACACGGCGTCGAAATGAAACGCTAAATTAGAAGAAAACAAATAAGTCAAAGGAAATCGAATATAAGAGAAGGGAAAGTCATAGTACTGACAGGGAAGGTGTCCGGTTTCAAAACACAAGTATACAGTTTAATGCAAACACCAGAGTAAAATATCGGAAGTCTTCCTTTCGACAATCCATGACGGATTTTAGATAAGTAATAAGAATGGAATCAAAATCAATAAACAGAAGATTTTCTGGTTTTATAGGATTTTTATGGGTTTATAGGATTTTTATGGGTTTATAGGAAGCTCCTATGAAGATTTAGTTGAGATTTTCAACAATTTTCTTTTCTGTAGAAGGTATATTTCAGAAAATACCTAAGTATGTCAAAACCGTCCTTTTGCCACCATTTGCCATTGTCGTGACAAATAAAAGCCTGTTTGTTACGAAAGTTTAGAAGTATTTACGGTGTGCGTTGATAAAAACGTGTGGAAGCGACGTCTTGTCTCGTATGTATCGACTAATGCTGTCACTTCCTCAACAGGGACATTCCTTAATTTATTGCGACAAGACGTAAATGCTTAAGATTTTACAATGAGTTTGACTCACCTGATATTATGGAAGCGGACAAAATGAAAAAAAGAACGCGGTGTTTGAAGAAAGAAAGAAAACCTGAAGGACTTTTGGAAATAAAATAGGGAATCGGAAGGAGTTTAAGAAAGAATGAAAATGGGAGGCGGGGGGGTCATTGAAAAAGAATGACAAAACGAAAGAAGGAAAGAAAGTTCTGAACTCTTTTTAAATAGAATGTTGGAAAGAAAAAAAAGAAAGAAAAACACAAAGAATTTATAAAAAAGAAAGAAGAAATGAACGAAAAACCGAATATGTATAGAAAGAAAAAGAAAAAGAAAAAGAAAAATTGAAGTATTTAAAAAAAAAGAAACAATTAAAAGAAAAACTAAAAGATTTCTAAAAATAAAGAAATGAAAGAAAGATTGAATGATTTCTAGAAAGAAAGGAAGAGAAAAAAAATACTGAAGAATTTCTAAAGACAGGCGAAAAGAAAGAAGAAAAAGAAAAGGATTTCTACAGAGATGGAAAGATCGAAAGATTTTTAAATGAAAAAAGAAAGTAATGAAAGATTGAAAATTTCTATAAGAAAGAAGAAATGAAAGAATCAGATGATTTCTAGAAAAAAAAAGAAGTAGTATCGGATAATTAAAAGAAAGAAAGAAAGAAACAAACAAACAAACAAACAAAGAAAATAGAAGAACCGGTTGCTTTCTAGAAAGAAAGAAGAATCGGATGATTTCTAGAAAGAAAGAAAGAAAGAAAGAAAGAACCAAATGATTTCTAGAAAGAAAGAAAGAAAAACGGAATGATTTCTCAAAAAAGGGAAAGAATATAAAACAAAAGTAAGATCTCTAAAAAGAGATAAATCGAAAAAAAGCAATTTAGAAAGAAAGAACGAAAGAAAGAAGTGTTGCCATAGAAACGATGTAAACGAAAAAGACAAAACAAAAAAAGGCAACCTTGACACTTTGGATCAAAACAATAAAAAGCGGAAATGAAGCACAAACGAAAGAAACGGAAATGGCACAAATTTGAAAGAATATTACGTCAATGGGACGAACTGAGGGTGTTACATAATCTAGAGAAAGAAGCATATATTGTTTGAATATCGGGTAAATTCTCCAACTCATTTGTTTTCTAAAACAAAATGATTCACTTAACAGACAGTCTTTTCTTACCTCTTTACACACACACACATATAAAATAATATATATATATATATATATATATATATATATATATATATATATATATATATATATATATAATATTAGTGGTTAATACACACACACATACGCACACATATATATATAATATTAGTGGTTAATACACACACACATACACACATATATATATAATATTAGTGGTTAATACGCACACACACACACACACACACACACACACACACACATATATATATATATATATATATATATATATATATATATAAAATATGTAAATATGTAAATATATATACATACATACATATATATATATAAATTTCCACGAGGATAAAATCCAGGTAGAACTCAATGTCCAGGACAGAGTAAGAATATAATAAAAATTTATTACATTGGAATCGTAATTACGATACAATTCATTAGACCTACAAATTCAAAAAGAAATCGGAAAAAATAACTCCGGGAATAAAAAATAAAATTTTCGATTAATTTTTTTACCTTTAGTTCCTCGTCTGCATGAATTTAAACGTGCTACTGGATTGGCAATTAGGTCCCACCGTTTTACTGTTGAACGAGCTCGATGCAACCGTCTCTTCTATTCTAACAGTTTCTTTTCTCGCCTGTGGAACTCCCTTCCGATTTTTTGCTTCCCTGTCAACTACAATCTTCAAAACTTCCTGAATCCTGTTCCTTTATTGTCCTTTTCCCCTACTCAAATCTTCTCGTTCTCTTTCACTTCCTAGTGACACTATCACCTTACTTGATGTGAAATGATTTTTTAAAAAAAGAAACAATGAGAATGAACTGGCTTGGTACCCTTCTCTCTAGACTAAGATAGACTACTTATTGAAATGTCTATATTTCTTACATTTTCTTCATATCATTCCTTCGGAGTATCTGTAAGCATTTATTCAAAAAGACTTTTTTTTTCTACTTATGTATTAGAAAAACAAGAAAGTTCTATTTGGCCTTTCCGGGGTCGAAAATGAGTTTTCCTTTATTGTCACTTCTCACCAATGATAGAATTAACGCAAAATGTTTCCATTTACCAACGTCCATTTAACTTTAACAAGCGACAACACACACGCCCGTTTGTGGCCGCCTATTGAATGGACTTAAACGCTTTGCTAAGGCGAGTTTATCTTCGATGATATATTTCATCGATGACGGAAGTCTATATATAATAACATTTTTTCTGTGTTTGTGCCAATGGACGCTTTATTATTTGTTCTTTTTATACTTACATTGGTAAGTGGGAGAATAACGAAATTCAAATCAAGTATTCTCGCCGTAATTGTCAACATTTGCAAATCCGACGATCTTAAAGAACGAAACTAAGATTAGAAGAAAATAATAAACATACATTCGACATTCTTGGTTTTTATGCAGATAAACTAACAGAAAATAATTTTTTTTTTCTATGGTTTTTGTCTATTTTCCCCCAACATTAGCTTTTGTGCCTATTCGTTCGGACATCAAAAGAACGGCAGTCCGTTTGCAAGCTCTTCGATGGACAGATCAAGGCAATAAATGACCGTTGTGTAAATTTAGACAAAACAGATGAAACACCCGGAGAGAAGGACGGACATCAAAATGGAGGATTTGCTCAAACAAGAGTTGGTAAAAGCATGAAAAGAAAAAGAGGGGAAAAATAGACAAGAAAAGAGGGGAGAAAAAGAGAGAAAAAAGGAGAGTGGTTAAGAACAGAGGAAAGAAAACGAAGAAAGATGAGAGAACGAGACAAAAAAAAATAGATGAAAAGTTGGGGAAGAAGAGAAGAAAAGACAATTGGAGAAAAAAAAAGAGGAAAGAAGAAGGAAGATGTGAGGAAAAGACGATAGAGAAAGAAGAGTTGATAGAAGCAGAAAAGACAAGAAGAAAAGAAAAAAATGGTCAAAAGAAGAGAGGTAAAGAAGAGACGGGAAACGATAAGGGAAAAGAAGAAAAAGAGGGAAATTACAGAGAAAAGGAGGAAAAAAGAAGGAAAAGAAAATGGAGAATGAAGAGTGTAAAAAAGAGTGAGGAAGAAGGGGGGAGAACTGTCGTAAACAAGAGAAAGAAGGAAAAGGCAAAGAACAGTGGGTAAAAGAAGAGGGAGAAAGAAGAGGTGAAAAGGACAAGAAGAGAGGAAAAGAAAAAGGAGAATGAAGAATGGAAAAAAGAAGGAAGACGAAATGGAAAAGAAAGGGGAAAAAGAAGAGGCATGAAAATGAGGGGGACAAGCGAGTGAAAGAGAAGATAAGAGAGAAAAAGAAAAAGGGGAAAGAAGAGAGGAAAATAAGTAGAATGAAGACGGAAAAGGAAGACGGTAGAAAGAATGGGGGGGAATGAAGAGGCGTAATGGAGAAGGGCAAGAAGAAGGAGAAATAAAAGCGGAAAACAGAGAGAAAAAAAGAAAAACGGGAAGAGAGGAAGAGAAAAAATATGAAGATGAGGAGGAAGATGAGAGGGAAAAAAGAGGAATAAAGAAAAGTTAAAAACGTGAGAGAGAGAAAGAAAACCTGAAAGAAAAGAGAAAGAAAGAGAGAAAAGAGAAAAAAGGATGTGAAAAAGATAGAAATATAGTTGAAGAAAAACTTTTAAAAAATAAAATGAATTGATTTATGAATAACAAGTCAAAAAAACCGAAAAGAAAAGAATATAAATTATTTATGAAAGTTTATTTAGTCTGACAAAAAGTTGCATTAAGGACCACTGCATTTCATGAACTCGCTTGCATTTTCAAACTGAGCAAATATAATAACTTCTAAATTATATATAGATATGTGTGTGCGTGTTTTTCTAAATGACTTCACCGTGAACAGAAACTGACCACATCTAATAGTTTTATGCGTTTTCGAACAATCATCAGGTCACTGGCATTTTTTGTTTGTGAAAATAGGCATTTTATACACCCTTGTCAAGTCCAAGATGTTACAAGAAAGAGTGGTTGATAAACAGATACATAGATAAACATGAACAGACTGTGATAGATATGAACACACCAAGATAGATAGATAGATAGATAGATAGATAGATAGATAGAAAGAGACTGAGATAGATAAATAGATAGTCAGACAGACAGATGCGTTGGATTATTCATAGAGATTTTTTTTCTAGCGCAATGAAACACTAAATGTACATTTATATGTCCAGCTGCAGCGTGTCCATAAAAACTTTGGTTAAAAAGCGTCTTGCACTCGTCGCTAGGAAAAATGTTATTTTCTATGACAACGCAAGGTTGCATAAAAAATAACAGCAAAAAATGTTGCAAATCTGTTATATATATATATATATATAACAGAGCATATAAATTACACAGCAAAAAAATAAAAAATTACGTCATTTGGGTAAAAAATTATTAAAATCCGACAATTATTTGATTTTTGCAATAATTTCCAAATTAATGCATTTTTCACCGCAAAAAAAGCGCTAAAATCTCCTACACAAGTTTATGACACTCACTTTGACACAAGAAAAACAAAATTTTTAACCAAAACTTCTAAGGTTCTAAAAAGTATCAAAAACTGTAATTTAATAATCAAAAAATTCTTTAATTCTTTAATCTTACCTGTTAATAATAACATAAAGATTTTGACAATAAAACTTTGTTTTGAGCATTTGGAGGCAATTTTTTCATCATGTATGCTTATTTTTTAGCGAATTTTTGTAGGTACCTATATATATATATATATATATATATATATATATATATGTGTGTGATGATGTGTGTGTGTGTGTGTGTATGTCTTTGTGTAGAGATAGCTAAAACGGATAAAACAATATCCCAATGCGCCCCATCGTCTCAGGAATAGACAGCGCACCCCATAAACTGGTGAAAGCCATAACAAAAATTTACCCCTCTCCTTGGAACAATCAGTCCATTTCATATTAAAAATAAAAAGAAAAAGAAAAAAAAAGAAAAAGAAAAAAAGAAAAAGAAAAAAAAAACTCAGGCAGTCGAGTTGAAAATTTGAGGGAAATGACCATGACTGACAAACTCATGGCCAGTCGAGATATAAAATCCCTTGACACTTAAGTCCCAGTTAAAAAAAAATGCCTAACTCTCCTAAAAAGCATCTAATGCAATCAAAGATAAAGATCTCTCTACCAACAGCTAAAATAATAAAAATCTGCCATCTCCTCACTAATCAATGCTACTTCATATTTAATGATGATTTTTGCAAATATGTATTAGGATTACCAATGGGGTCGCCTCTCAGTGCAGTGATGGTATGCATCTTCTTAGAATTTCTCGAATCTGGTCCTTTCCAAAATATTTTATCCAAAAAACATACTTCCGATATATTGAAGATGCTCTATTAATATATCTTCGTGATACAGACTTACCTGACTTATGTAGATAAACTAAACAAAGTCGAACATACAACAGAATTTACATACGAAATGGAAGAATAAAATTCCTTACCTTTCCTACATATCAAGCTATATCGCATTAACAACAGTTAAAACTTGGTATCCACTTGAAATCAACCAACAAAAACAATCTAATAAATTTCTATTTTCATCATAGCAAAATAAAATCCTGTATAATCATCGAATTGTACTTAAGAGCATTCATAATTTGCAGCCCTCAATATTTACATGAAGAAGAGAAATACATTGAAAACACTTTCAAGCTTCTTCAGTACTCAATAATTTATACTGAATGCGAAATAAATAACTCATAAAATGTTCCAAAATAGAAAAACGTCACCTCCTGAGAAATCCATTGAATCAAAAACATATTGTCCTGCTTACTAATTTTATCTTATCTTTAATTGAAAAAAAAATTATCTAAAGTCAACATAAACGTCGTTACTACTACATCCAAAACAATAAAAGACTTAATCAATAGTAAACAAAACAATAAGTTCAAACTTGAAGGAGGACTTTACTCGATCGCTTGGAATGATTGTCGCAAAAAATACATCAGAGAAACGTCAAGGAATCTAAATAAAAGATTATATGAACACAAAAAGAAGATTTTACAAAATAATACGTCAAATGCGTTGGTTGTTCACCGTAACGAGACTGACAACAATCTTGACATAAAAGAAGCAACATGATCAAAGGAAAAAACAATTCACTACGAATGTAAATGTCTAGAGAGTGCCTTAATCGCAAGGTCATCTACAGTAAATTTGGGCCCTGACTCTTATAACATTTCACCATTCTTGGAAGAACTTCTATTGTCATCGGCTCGACGTTGCTTAACTTTGAAGAGGGTCCGGTATTCACAAGTGATCAGCCATCTATGTAATGGCCAGGTTCGACGTTGCTTAACTTCGCTGCTCGTACGAGAGTCAGTGTTTCAATGTGATATGACCTTAAGACATACAATCCGCACATCCAAGCTTACAGCACCTGGTATACCCAAGCGGTCACCCATCTAGGTACTGACTAGGCACGACGTTGCTTAACTTCGGTGATCGTACGAGAACCAATGTTTCAATGTCACTTGACCTTAAGACATAAAATCCGCACATCCAAGCTTACAGCACCTGGTATTCCCAAGCGGTCACCCATCTAGGTACTGACGAGGCGCGACGTTGCTTAACTTCGGTGATAGTACGAGAACCAAAGTTTCAATGTAATAAGGCCGTAAGCAGATTGCGATAAGGAGATAAGAACGGAGGTAAGTAGGTAGATACAAAGAAACGACCAGAGAATTAATAACAAATGGATATTAACACCCACGTCATCATATATATATATATATATATATATATGTGTGTGTGTGTGTGTGTGTGTGTGTGTGTGTGTGTGTGTGTGTGTGTGTGTGTGTGTGTGTGTGTGAAATGAGTGATAGAGGAGGGAGGCAAAGGAAGAGAGAGAGAGATTTTCTTTCGTGCGGAAACCTGATTGTTAATGATATCCAATGCGAACCATTTTCTCATCTTCTGTTGGAAGTGTTTAAAGAAAAAGCAATATGAACAACTTGATCTTGTGTTTCTGTGAAAACACCGACCACTTGTACCCATCCCAACCGACCCTTAGCTCAGCTGTCCATCCGATCGAACCATCAGCAATTTGCGTGACACTCGATTGCCAAATAGACTTCTTGGGGTATGGTTCATCTCAATTCTATTTACACGATCGACTCAGCACCTACACACGCCTCAGAAGCACGCAAACTCGGTAAAAGACGGCCACCACGGTACAGAAGAGGCACAGATATATGTGTATGGGTGGATACATGACAGCATTTCTTCACGTAGCAAGCGGATAACCCATCGTGTAGGAGGACAATTTTCTGAGGAAGTTAATAGCTTTTTGCGGTAAACAAAAAAAAATAGATAATATTTATCTTCAGCTAAAAGCTCGATGAAGATGAAAGTTAAGAATATATATAGGTATTGAAAATATCTATCTATTTTCACACGCACACACACACATCTATCTATCTATCTATCTATCTATATATATATATATATATATATATATATATATATATATATATATATATATGTCCTAGGTAGACCGTAAAGCTTAGGAATGTTTAGGTGCTTTTCTATCAATCTCATCCATGATTTTTCTTCGTTGTTAACTCACTTGCCGATGATTTTATTGAATTTTGGGTCTCAATAAGGATGTCATGTTCTTGATTTTCTCATAAGCATCTGGAACGAAGAGAAATCCTACCCAACCAAACCTTAAAGTTTACCTAAGATAAACAAAGCGAGTACCCCTATGCAATTCATTGCATCTTGGATAACAGCGCGCTCCTCAAATTAGCAAAAGGTAGAGTACAAATCTATAAACACCCGCCCTCGGAACAAAACGCTGAGCACACATTAAAAATTTCAGTGATTTCATCAATAGACATGACAAATGTGTATATATATATATATATATATATATATATATATATATGAAAATGATTCTCGATAGTGAATGCTCACTGCTGATGAGTCCAAAATATAAAACCAAACGGCCGTCCAGTGCTTTCCGCATTCTGTTGAGGATTCTTCTAGACTTGATGAATTACTATATATATATATATATATATATATATATATATATATATATATATATATATATATATATATATATATATATATATATATATGCCATAAACAGACAAAAATAGTTTTATTGTTACCACTCATGATAATAAAAAGTAAAATGAAAAACGGGCTAGCTAACCTCTTTCGTACGTCGCTCAACAGAACTAAATCGAGGTAAATAAATTAAATTATATAAAAAAGAACAATGGAAAAAGTGTATTGGGAGGGGGAGAGAAAAAATATTTAAATGGTAATTAGTTAGAAAACCTATCACTGATACTACTTAACCAAGGCGTAGATACACAAGACATCTTTTTACTATAGAAGGTTTGACTTTGTTAAATACAGCGGTTTTATTCTTAATAATTGCTTGAACTATGCCTAATGGGTAGGCATTGTTGCAGAGAGTCGACGTAATAAACCTGAGTTCCAACTTGATGTCCGAACAGATCATAAGAGCCCTATGGGTAAGGGTCTTAATTAAATTGATTTTGCGCTTCCTGGGACAAAAAGAATCCCAACGTCTATACAAACCAGTAAACGTTGGTTTACGGTAAGCAGATGTAATAAAACCCGATGCAGATCTGCTGACAAATTCATCGAGAAAGGGAAGAGATGAATCAACCTCCTCTTCCTGTGTAAATTTCAAGGCTGGATGCATATTTAATTAAGACCCTATTTAAATATTTTCTCCCCCCACTACACTTTTTCCATTGTTTTTTTTTATTATATAATTTACTCTATTTGCCTCGATTTAGTTCTGTTGAGCGAGGTACGAAAGCTAGTTAGTCCGTTTTTCATTTTTACTTTTTATTATCATGAGTTCTAATAATAAAACTAATTTTTGTCTGTTTATGGCAGTGATAAAATTTTGTACCACTAAACATATATATATATATATATATATATGAAGAAATTTAATTTTAAGGTATGCTATATTTATGGAATAAAGTAAATATCATAGAGGCGACAGGTAAGTCCTTAACGCGATAAAAGCTGTCTGACATTGCGTCCAGCATGAAACAGCCTGTCGCCTCTGAGTGTAGACTTCAATGTTCACTTTTATATTTATATACGATCTATCTCTGATATTGAGCACTTTATCTCATAAATATAGCACACCTTAAAACTATATTTCTTCATATATATATATATATATATATATATATATATATAGATAGATAGATAGATAGATGGATAGATAGATAGATAGAATAAATATAATGATTAATAAATTAACAGAATGTCTACTAAATACGAGTATTCATTAAATATAACGTTTAATTAATAAAAATCCACCCCTTATCTATCTACGCACACACACACACACACACACACACACGCACATATATATATATATATATATATATATATATATAGCATTAATACAAGTAATGTTTATCACTTAGCTGATTCATTTTTTACATTATTCGGACTTTTATCCTCATCTTCTTTGCCATATTCACAAAGTTTCGACAGTTGTAAGCTCCGTTCTTCTTCAGGTAATTGGAATTTCGAACCGAACCCTTTATTTAGTTCACCGTGGTAGATTCTTCTAGTTCCACGTGCCATTGCTCTTCCGGATGTCACAGTCATTTCCCTTTAACTCAACTCTCCAAGTTTTGGGTTCACCACTGTTGTAGCCTGGTATTGAATTCACAACTATAAAGCGGTAACACGAGGGGAAATAGAAAAATCAGGCGTAGCTGACCACATATGGGGGGGAGGGAGATCACCGCCCCCTGTGCGACGAGGTTGAAATAAGAGACAGAGAGCATCACTGGAAAATATGAAAACTCAAGGAATCAGCACATATACTAGACTACAAAAATCTCCTAAGCCGGCCAAGCATAAAAATAAATACAATATGGGAACCAGTAATACGGAGTGCTAGAGAAAAGCAATGAACAATACCACAAAATTGCAATATAAGCTCTGGTAAAAAAATGTGCAATAATAATAACAAAAATTGCAGTATGAGCACTGGTAAAAAAATGTGCAATAATAATAACAAAAATTGCAGTATGAGCACTGGTAAAAAAAAAATGTGCAATAATAATAACAAAAATTGCAATATAAGCTCTGGTAAAAAAAACAAAAAACAAAAAAAACACTAATAATAACAGAAAAATTGCAGTATGAGCACTGGTAAAAAAAAAAAAAACGGTTGCTGAGATATTAGGTTTATAAGTCCCCAGAAATTCATGACCCAGTCTGATAAAGATATTGGTTAGATCCAGTTACTAGAACCAAAGAGTTGTGAGTTCAATACCTGGCTACAGCAGTGGCGAACCCAACGGCCGAAACGTTGTAAATATGGCTATGAAGATGAGGATAATAGTCCGAATAATGTAAATAATCATAATACCTCATCGCAGAGATTTAGACAGATATTAGCTGATTCATATTATATTCATAACCTTGATTCTAGAGTTTCGTAAATAAGCTCTTTTGTAATTATTCAGTCCACTCTTCAGGAGGTTTTCAGCAATTGACTGCTGTTTTCTTTTTCTCATTTTTCGTTATTTTTTATACTAAGTTTGATGTAATTAATTTACGCTTTAGTTGGGATTTTTGATTATTGGATTTAGGTTGATTTTCTCGCCAAATTATCCAGCAGAAATCTCAGCCTGCTCTGAAACAACATGACGTAATATAATGGCTACTGGAATTTCACACTAAATATATGCTGGTGTCAGTCGATAAGGCAGCAGATAATGTCCTTATTATCGGCATGAACCATTTTTTTATGTTAAAATAACGTTTTTCTTAGTTAAAGCTTTTAAATGTAAATCCCTAACATTCAACAAAGCGTGTTTATATAAAATGTCCATACTTGAAATGTACAATTGTTTCTTTTAGGGAGATATGTACCCTGGTCTTGAGAGCCCCATTTTGGAAAATCTACAACGATGTACGGACGATCAAAGAGCTGAGCCTCGTGACCAAGATCTGGAGGGAGAATATAGGGGAAGCTGCTCCTCTTTTCTACGCACACACGAGCGATTCTGATTGGCTCCGTGGGTGCCTAACGTAATGTCTATTTTTGGTCACGGAAATAAGCGTGACAGGCCGATTTTAATTTCCGCTAAACATTACAATTCTTAACGAAGTTCGCATGTTTCCCGATGGCAACGCACATATCAGGTCTCACAATACCGAAGAAGGACTACTGTTTGACAACACTGAATACAGGAAATTCTTTGAGATGTAGATTGAAAGGAAATATTGAGGACTTTCGTTCATTTAGTGAATGCCCAAAATGCAGAGGAATCCTTACGGTTTTTTGCTTTTTGTTCACCATTAAATGCCGTTCAACCAAGCCACTTTCTCAAACAATTTCTAGTCTTTTCAACTATACTTAATGATACCTACCGTTTTGAGTAATACAAAATTCAGAACCAGTAACAGAGATTTTCAAGAAAATCAGTCGGAAAAGAAATGCCATTTCTTTTGGAATCTATGATTTTTCAACGGTTTCCACAAATTTCCCAGATGATAAACAAATCCAAGAACATTGTAAAACGGTTGATATTGTCTTAAGGGAGATAATAAGAAAAGAGCCCAGTTCAATTTATTACCTCCCTTTTCTAAAAAATAGGACTGTTTTTTCATAATTCTCCTTGTAGGTAGCAGTGAGCTATTTAACTGAAAATTTACCTTTTACATGTGGGGAATATTTTTTTCATCAAGGTCTTGGTTTACCAATGGGCATTGACTCCATACGGCTTAGAGCCATATCACGTTGAAACACCTGTTTCCACACGTTCACCGATGTTATGTAACATCGAGCCTAATTACTACCTAGATAGGTGACCGCTAGGAAATATCAGGTGCTGTAAGATTGGATGAGCGGGTTGTATGTCTTAAGGCCATATGACATTGAATTCTTGATTCTCGTACGATCAGTGAAGTTGAGCCTCGTTAGTATCTAGATGGGTGACTGATAGGGAATACCAGGTGCTGTAAGCATAGACGTGAGAGTTGTATGTTTTAAGGCCATCATACATTGAAACATTGGTTCTCGTACAATCAGCGAAGTTAAGTAACGTCAAACTTGGTCAGTACCTAGATGGGTGACCGCTTGAGAATACCAGGTGCTGTAAGTTTGGATGTGCGAGTCGCTAAGTCTTAAGCCATATCACATTGAAACACTAGTTCCCGTACGATCAGCGAAGTTAAGCAACGTCGAGCTTGGTCAGTACTTAGATGGGTAACCGCTTGGGAATACCAGGTGCTGTAATCTTAGATGTGCGGATTGTAAGGCTTACGGCCATATCACGTTGAAACACTGGTTCTCGTACGATCACTGAAGTTAGGCAATTCTTCCCATCTAAAAATATTTTCTGGCTTTAAATAACCTGCAAAGGGTTGATAAGCTGAAAATAACGAATTAATCAATAACCTTTCTGGGTAAACCTTTTCCTTTACATATATGAAAAGAAATGTGTTTCTGATCCTGTCAGAACACATTTACTTTCATTCCACAAAATGGTTTATAGATGATGAAGATTTATGACAAGAAAAACGTTGTTTTTTTCCGTTTCGTGTTGTTCTCATGTCTTAATGTTTGCAGCAACATTCCAAGAAATCTTTTCAACCCTATAATGGTTTGGGAGTTGCTTCGCACTTCTCATTCCATGCTACAATTTCAGGATTTTCTTCCAAAGGCCAAAAGTTTGCTTGACCGCATGAAAAAAAAAGAGCGTAGACAATTAGTACAAAATTGCTTTGCCTTAGAAGCAAGAATCAACAGACTTTTCAAAAATACAATCTGACTTTGAAAAACCATTCTTAATATTTACACCATTGTCAACCAAGCAGAGCTAATCGCACTGAATGATTGACCAAATCTGGTTCACCTTCGTCAAAATGAGGCTATTCGAATCAAAAGCTCAAAATCCGGATGTATTCCTTGAAGAAAAACGATGCCATGACAAACTTTTATTTATTTCATCAAAATCTAAATGTCCTTGCGAATATTCATATCCATTTGTATTATGAGAAGGTATAGGTATATATCCGAATATTCTTGTATATGCATGTATGTATTTTTGTTTGTATATTTTCAGGGTTCATCCTTTTTGTTAGAGTTTTGCAAGGGTCTTGGTTTGATTGGGTTTGGTTTATTTTGCTTTACGTCATATCGACCTCAATGAATTATTTATTGCCAAGAATTTTAGGTTAGGTCCGTATGAATATAATACGTATTCTTTGTAGATCAGGTTTTATTAACATAATTTTGCAGAGTAGGTTTTTCTCGAACCAAATTTATAGCTGGTAATATTTGCTTTTACAAAAATGTATTACTGTTATTTTTACTATAAAAATCTATTTTTATACTTTCATAGTGTTTTGACTTCAGTTTGGTGTGGATAACTATTTGCCCATAGCTGGGATCCTAACAGGTGCTACCACCCCAGGTTAGTGTGGATCTGGGAACAACAGCAGTTAAGAGGTGCTTCCACGCTTTTCTAAGCCTCCTGATCAAAGTCCTTGCTGCCGGATTTAGTTTATCGTCATACGCAGCACAACGAGGAACTTGTTAAACAGACTAATAAACACCGTATGCCTGCTAGTTGCAAAAGCACAAAGTGGTTTTAGAGCGGGCAGAGGTACTATGGTTATGATTTTCTCGTTTAGATGCTGGAGAACGGCGTTGAAAATCGAGTACCATGTACCAGGTTTTCGTGGATTTGACCAAGGCTTTTGACACCGTAAATTGTGATGCCGTTTGGAGGATTCTTGGTAAGATTGACTGTGTTCTCACTTTTGTCAACTCGCTTTAAAGTTAAATATTACAGATAGAATGGGAAAGATCCACACTAAGAATACCTACATTTTATTTAAGGACCATAAAAAGAACTTCACTAACAGTACACAATATAGATTAAATAAATCCAAAAAAAACAGAACTAGGCCTTATCTGACAAAATAAAATTTTGAAAAAATAACCAACAATTTACTAATTACAGCTAGTACTAACCTTTGGAGGGATTCGTCTGGCACTATTAAATGGTACACTAACACGAGGAATAAGGATAAAGCGACGTTCATTAAGTTTGATATAATTGACTTCTTTTCCTCTATAAATAGGGACATCCTGGACAATAGTTTCAAATTTGTAAAGAACTATATAGAAATAACGGATGATGAAACTAATATCATCTTAACGGCGAGAAAGTCACTACTGACACTGAATAACTCCACCTGGACTAAGCGCCAAAAATGACGAATTCGATGTCCCCGTGGGAGCATATGACTCAGCCCAAGTTGCAGACCTAGTATGGTTTTACATTTTAGATGTGATTAGTAGATTCATAAAACCGGAACTAACAGGGCTATTATAAGGACGACGGACTCATCCTCAGTCCTAATAGTAATGGTTCACTAACAAGCGAAATTACAAAAGAAATTATCAGAGCCTTCAAATTCCTAAGGTTTAAAATCAAGATTTCTTCTTACCTTAAAATAGTTGACTACCTTAGATATTACCCTTAACCTTAATGATGAAACCTTGTAACCTTGCTATAAAGAGAACGAAACCCCCAACTATATTAATATCGGTTCTAACCACCCCAGTGCAATCCTAAGACAATTACCCACTACCGTTTGCACCAGGATTAGTTCTGGCCATAAATAAACTCCAAACTTAAACCGCTTCCCCAGGGATAAGATACCTTACGCCCCCAAAAATCAGTGACACAAACCCACTCTCATTAACAAGGCGTCTACTAGAGGAGGACTGACTTTGAAAATAAATTTAGAACAATGCTCCGAAACAAGCACTTGGAGGCTGATGATAGCCGTGTAAAGAACGGTTTGAAATTGACTATACCTACGTTGAGGTAATTTTTTTTTTTTTTTTTTGCTGTAAAAAATACATATGCTCTGTTAACATAAAAACATCGAGCTCACTGTGGATCAGGTTTAATAATTAATATTACTAGGATCCACCCGATTATATACCAACGGATAGATTACCTGTACTATATATATATATATATATATATATATATATATATATATATAGACATGAAAGATCTTCAATTTTGGTCCAAAATCTGAGTATGAGTGTGTGTGTGTGTGTGTGTGTGTGTGTGTTTTTGTGTGTGTGTGTGTGTGTTTTGTGTGTGTGTGTGTGTGTGTGTGTGTGTGTGTGTGTGTGTGTGTGTGTGTGTGTGTGTGTGTGTGTGTGTGTGTGTGTGTGTGTGTGTGTGTGTGTTTCTCTGGTGCCAGGGGAAAATAAGAACTTAAATTTTCCAATGATTTCTTTATACGTTATTTTAATAGATAAAATTTATTTAAGTAAATGTTCTGTTTTTTAAATAAACAGTAAAAATTACATTACAGGAATCGAATCCTATACAGAACCGTCATTTGATCTGACGTGCTATACCACTCAGCTATAGAGAAGCATCTGTTTAGCAAAGTACAAATTACTGTTTATAAACAACAAATCTTTGACGATCTTTCCCTAATGATAATATCTGCTCACGAAACGTAACTTGACGTAAACACCAATGGATTACGCCCACTCACGTAGGTTGAGCACTTTGGAAGAAAAGGAATTTGTCGGATGCTGCTATTGTCGCTAAAATCTCTTTGCTATGAATTGAGTTCTTTGGTAGCCGGTAATGCTTATATCTCGTATATAAGGTGTTGAGGGTGAGAGTCTCCGACTGATGTCAAATTGGTCGGGTTTTGATCTCGGCTTGAAGCAATCGCTTATGTAGCCACGCCGATGAGCTGTGATACAGCGAAACAATCAGTCTTTGGATGACTGTATATATTTGGTGGACTCTGCCGTCATATTCGACCTATGAGGGTCAAGCGGCACAGTTCTTAGGACCCGACAGCCAGACACCAGCACATACGATTTGATTATAGTGGTAAAGGCTTTGTACAGAACCAACCACACCTTATGAAGGGCCGAATGCAGACACCTGGTACATCACGTGCCAAAAGGTCCCCAAACGACCCTCCACAGGCTTTGAATATAGAGTTGTCCTTCTCGTAGATCAGTTGCCATCAAAGGCTATAGAACCCAGTCTGTCCTGCTATTTACCTATATATATATATATATATATATATGTATGTGTGTGTGTGTTTGAATGAAGAATTATAGTCTTAAGATGTGGTATATTTATGGGATAAAGTGCTCGATATCAGAGATAGAGCGTGTGTAAATATAAAAGTGAACATAGAAGTCAACAGAGGCGATAGTCTGTTTCATGCTAGATGCAATCTTCTATGTTCACTTTTATATTTATACACACACACACACACACACACACACAAAAGGCAAAAGATAATGATTGATGTTGAATTTAAATTTTGGAAGATCTTAGTTGACTGTAAAATAAGTAGCCGGAAGAGAGTTTCACAGGCGAGATGTGCACGAGATGAAACTCATAGAATAGAACTTACTGCTGCATCTATAGGAAAGACACAAAAATATAACATGACGGCCGTAGGAACGGGATTGAAGCAGAGATTTCGGATCAGGACCAATTTAATCAAAATGTCAAATTTCACAATACCTTAAACAAAAGACTTTGAAAGTCTTGTCAATATTAAATAAAACGATAATATTTAGTTACCAGAAAAGTTCGTTCGGTATATTAATTAAATTTTCTACTTCAGAAGCGAAAAAACTTCTTGACCAAACCAGTAGTTGATAATCTTGAGAAATGTAATTTTGAGAATTAACAGAAAGAATTTTCAACTGACAATAATGAAAACAGCTCAGTTAATGAATGCCGAATGTTTCTTGAGTGGGTACGGCTAAATTTTACCACCACCATTATTATTATCCTGTGCTTTATTTCAGCCAAGCTATTGTCAACGTTGCATACCACTGTCTTTAATTATTGGTCTGCAAAATATGCGACATTTCTATCATTGACCAATACGGGAACATCCTGGCAATTACCAAACTCAGATGTCATTGCCAAGGACATAAATCGAACCCATTATCACATTGCCAACTATTATAGATTGCTCCTAAAACCTTTCATCTTTACATGAAGACGGCTCACCTCAACAGACAATTTTTTTCAGCTTTTCTTACGCGTCTGAATGTTTATAAAAGACGCCTTTGGTACATATTTCTGTTTTCACGCAAGTCTAACAAGGATTTACCGTGAAAATGATAGTCGTCGTTTAAATGCGGCCGGGAACGGCGGTCCAAGCGCGCCTGATGGTATGCACATTATGGCGTAGATTTCATCTTACTGCTTGT